GTCTTATGTCTTATGTAATGTTCTCATTTTTACTTAATTTTTACTTTATTTTTACTTTATTTTACTTTATTACTACTCGCACCTTATGTCGAAGCAAATTCCTAGTTTGTGAACCTCGTTCATTGACATGGCAATAATAATAAACTGATTCTGAACTGATTCTGTAAGGTGATAAGGTGTCCGGAAGCGATGATTAAGGTGACAATCAGGACAGATGGTACAGAAATACCAAACAAGCCAGAACAAGAAGAGGACAGGAAGATAATTCAAAGTTTTTCCCACGCAACACCAGTCAGGCAGATGTGAACTGCTGCAGGCTGTTTAGCAGAACACACCTAATCACAAAGACACTCTGTAACTAGCTCTGAATATACAAAACTGAAGGACTTTGAATCTACAGGTTTATAGGAAAAACAGCATATATTATATTTCTCTGAAGGAATCTTCCCAAGGGATCAATAAAGTTCTGTTCAGTTCTCCTACCTGTCAATGTACAGAAGTAGTGATGGCGCTGCCATCCTGCTGTGACAAAACAAAACTCACAATCCACAAGAAACCTGAAAACCGAAGGTCCAAACAAAATAATTTTTAAAAAAGGAGGTCAACCCTCGAGTCAGAGCTCTCCCTCAGAAACATTCAGACCTAGGGCGTCCATAGTTTTAATAGCAGTAAGTCTGAACAGCTACTGGGATCAGTCAGAGTGAGAGAAGGAGCAGACTCCTGAGTGTCCCGCCTCTTCAATCAGAAGCTTGAGCTCACAAATGGGAGCTCGTGGGAGGGAATCAGTAAGTTTATGGAGAAGAATGATGGTTAAAAGAGCAGTAAAAAGAAGGGGGACCTGATGGAGGGACCTTCTTACAAAACAATGTACAAGAGCATCTAATTTCATGCATTATTGAAGATAAATTCCTCTTAATGACAGTGTAAAAACACTTAAAAACAACGTAACCTAGATTCAATATGAGTGCAAAATATTAAAATCAAAAGTAATGAATCAAATGACTTTCCATTTTCAAGAGCACTGAAAGATCTTGACCAATATAAAATATTCAGAACTTACATCTACATCTATCTGTGTAAAAGATTATGAACAAATATTATCTCACCTGTTGTAGATAACTTTTAAAATGACCCCAGTTTAGATAAGGGTGCATTCACACCAGCCCTGTTGTCCCGAACTCTAGCCTCATATGGAGCCGTCAGCTGCCTTGTGTAAAAAACAATATTCTCCATGGTCTTCTGCCTCATCTTCTGCTCATGCAGAGTCCATTGTTGAAAAATGACAAAATATAACTCCTAAAACTGCTAAAACTTGATGCCACTCCGTTTTTATTTTTATTTCCAGAAGAAGACGAAGTGTCTTCTACAGAGGTTTTTGTGTTGTTTCTTTCAGTAGTTCTTGGTGCAGCGCCCCCACAGGCGAGTGGGGGAACAGGTTGGTTCAACAGGTTGGCTCGACTGCACAGTGCAGTGTGAATGCAAACGCACCAGCTCAAATGTAAACAAAGTGTTATGAATATTGGTCCCGAACCGAACCGAGTCTACCGGACTATCTGGTGTGAAAACAACCCAAGAGTTTAACTCCAACTGAACGAGCTAAAAGCTAGTCTGAGCATGGATAAGACCAAAGTGGACGTCATCTTAAAACAGCTACAAAAGTTCTTAGTGGTTTATGTAGATGCAATTTTATAAAACCACAACAAAAAAGGTTAGATCGTGCCATCTGGACCAGTTTCTTTGTGAGAAATGTTTCCTCAGTCTGTGGCCTGCCAACCAGATCTGTCTCATAGGTAGACTTCACTGCTGTGTTTCAAGCCAACCGTGATGACTGAGCTTAAAAAAAAAATTTCTGAACCACTTTGGCCTTGGCTGTCCTCAGGCTGTTTCTGAGGTTGGATTGAAACACAGCAGTGAAGGATACCTATGGTAAGAGAAATGCGTGTTTGTTTGCCCTGCGTTGTAGACCACTTCCAGCTTGCGGAGCAGTGCCCGTTCTGCTTACATTCACACTGTAATCGAACCGCGCTCAAGTTTTCTTCTACCGGACTGAGACCTAGGTTTTAGCCCGGGCCAGAGTTCGCCTTTTTGTTCCGTGACAGAGTTCGATGGCGAGTTCACACCTCCCCAAACGAACCGGACTTCCTAGGCAAACGGGGTAGGGCTTTAACAGACTACTCGAGTAATCTACACATCGATTGCTAGGACATCTATCGAGTTTTTTAATTTCACGTCGAGTATTCGTGGGGACGTCATTACGTCACCGTTACATCATTGCGTCACGTGATCCGCACTGGGCGTGGGTTACACAATGGATTCCTCCAAGCAGACGGATGGAGCAGAGCAGGTCCAGTCTTGGCAAACAGGTAGAAATGCATCAATAGTCTGGAAATATTTCACTAAAGATGAATCTTCTAGGTCAACTACCGTAAGGAAACAGAAAATAAATCAACTTCCTGACTGTTTGGAGCTCGTTGCGAACTGGTGTTACACCATATTTTGTGACCACCGTATATTGTGACCATAGGGGGCGGTGTTGCATGCACTGTTGCAGGTCACAGAATATGGTGCAACACCGGGTCCAATCGACCGAACCAGAACCAGCTTCCTCTGACCTTGTTTCACAAACTAAAAGCAAAAAATATTAATCTCTAAACCTATAAAAAACCTATAAACATTAATCTCTAAACCTATATAAAAAAACATATAAATATATTAATCTCTAAAACTAAAACTAATGTGCACCACAGCTGGCGGTGGTGCGGGGTGGTCGACCCCCCCCCCCCACACACACACACACACACACACACACACACACACTGTTTTTAGTTTCGTTTTTGGCGTGCCGCATGTTTCTTTCAATTTTGCAGCTTAATAATAATAAATTGTTTTGTTTTTCCTGTGACTTATTTGCAGTATGATAAATGGTAGGAGCATAATGTTTTGTTGGTCTTTTATTGTAAATAATGACCTTTTTTGCGGTTTTATTTATTTTTTTATTTTTGTATTATTTTTATCTTTAGATCCTATGATGTCATCACGTACTCGCGTTCTACTTGAGTTTTATTATGTTATTGTCAAGTTAAAAAATTAAGTAGTCGTTCAACCTCTACCTATGGGACAGATCCGGTTGGCAGGCCGCAGTCCTTCAGATGGGGGACGAAACATTTCTCACTTAAAAGAAACTGGTCCAGACGACACGATTTAATCTTTTTTGTTGTTATCTACCTGGATGATTGAGCTTACAAAAATTGTATAAAACCTTTACAGTGCTGACTTTCTTTTTTTTTTTTTCCTTTAGGATACTTCCTTCTTCAGGAGTTGCCACACCAAACAAACTTGCAAGAAGACTTGGCAATAGTTTTTGCGCTGACTGCCCTTTCTGATGCAAGCACCAAGAACAACCACCTCTGTGCCACCACTACATGTTCTTTCATTATATATTTCTTTTCTTAGACCGATAAGTCATACTGCAGCCCAAACAGCGAGGACCGATATTGGGAGGGGCAGCTAATGCCGATAAACGATATAATGGCTGAAAATTGTTGAGCTTTGTCCACCCCCAAGAATCTAACAGCTAATTTTAAACCTGTTTTAACACTTAAGTCTTGAAACAGTCTTCTTAATGTGCATTCACATTTTCTATCCTCCACTAGTCACCATAAAGTTGTCACGTGTGTTACAAACATGTAAATTAAACAAAGAAACATCCTTCCCTGTTCATAGTTTAAACAGTCAGTCACGTATGGTGAAGGTCCAATTAGTACTGACCGCAGCAGAGTTTTTATTTTCTTTGTAGAGAAGTAAAGATTTCAGACAAACAATGCATTTCATTGAGGACGACAAAGATAGCGTTACTAACACTGATATATATTTTACCTCTACATTAGATTTATTGTTCTGGATAAAGTTGTACAAGCCTATGCTAGGTTATCTAAAACGTTAGCTTGAGCATGTATCAGGATGTTAGCTTGTTAACTTGAGAGGCAAGTCGCTAATGACAAGCAGGTTGGAGGATTGAAGAGAATTTATTATTGTTGATTTGTTTTACAGATCAGTTTAAATAAACTTACCATGCTCTGTTCAGTAAAATACGCTACACAGTATTGCTCCCTGCTTCGGCTGCCCTGAAAGTGAAACTTAAGTGAACGACCATGATTTGAGAAGTAGTCTTCATGCGCCCTCTGCTGGAAACATTATACAATTACAGCTGGTTCTAGCATTTTAGGGGTGAAAATTAGAAGTGTTTATATCGGCGAGTAATGGGACAGTTATCACCGCTATGTCCCCAAACATATATATGGGCCTAAAATATCGGCCCTACCAATATATCAGTTGGGCTCTAATTTTTAGACAGCAGACACGCAAAAGTATTCAACTTGTGCAGCCAAAATAAAATTAAAAAAACACAAGTGTAAAAAATGCAAAACCAAGCATTTATAGTGATTACTTGATTTGTCAGCAGAACAATTTTGTATTAAGAATTTCTATTTTATCCTTCATTTAAAAGATCAGTTAGAACAAAAAATACTGTAACTTTGCATTTAACCTTTCTTTTCTTGAGCCATGTTCCTGACTGTTTTTGAGTGATGAATAATCAGCACTAGAGATTATTGTGCAACATGACCTTCAAGGACATGGAGTGAATCATACATTCAGTCAGAAAATGAATGCTTTAAATTCTGACTAGATTATGACTCTGTCTCCAGCCATGACAAAATCAACGTATCAGGTGTTTGTTGTGAAATAAACTGTACTATGTAGGAAACAAGTGCTGGGCAATGATGTGTGAATAGGAGACCATAGCCTTAAGTTATTGATAAGAAAAGGTAAAATTACCATTTTACAATATAACAATGCAAATTGGAACTATAAAGATCAAGAGTTCAATAATATTTATCTTTAAACTCCTTCCCTTCTAGCAACTCCAGAATCTTGTAATCCAAAATATTATCTTCATAAATGAAGACATTTTGAAGTAAATATAGTAAACTTGAACTTACCGGTTAAACAAGCTTGCCAGCGGTCCCAGTTTCTTTAACCTTCCATCTTCCTGTTGGTCGATACCCAACCCCGAGTGCAATCTTCCAGGACTACACAAGTCTCCTGGCGACGAAGACAATGTCACATCTGAGAAGTGAGCTGTGTCACTGTGACCTGCATCAAAGGTTACGACGACGCTAGAGTCAGAAGTGACGGTAAAATCCAAGATGTCCTCATTGGAGACAGACAGCTCAGTGCTCATGCTTGAAACGCTGCACACCGAGATGTCATCACTGCGGTTTAAAGTTCTGCCGGCCACACCCAACCCTGTGGTTGGGTTTAGTCTGAGGTTGGTGCTGAAGAGGCGAATAGAGTCGTAGCCACTGCGGGGGAAGGTAGAGGACTTGTGTACGCAATTGCTATCAGATGGACAGTCATCCAGTGGTAAAGTAGCAGGTGAGTCTTTGGTGTCCAGCATGAAGCCTCCATCACCCGATGATCGGTGGTTGTGGAGGATGGGGTCCGGAGGGTTGACCTCTAAAGTGGGGATTCCTGAGTCCTGAGAAGTCAAACTGTGGCGATCCAAGTCTGAGAAACCTTTTGGGGGGCTGCTGTAGTAGATGGGGGTGGAGGAGCAGGTTGGTTTGAAAGTGGGCAGGACAAGGTCGCTTTGTGGCGTTGAACTGGACTCACCGTTGGTTTCACTTTGGACGTTAGAGGTGAGCAGGTCTTTGCTCGCAGAACCATTTCCCACGATGGTTCCTCCAGACACATCTTTAAATAAAGAGCAAAACTTTCATTAAAATAGATGTGTACATCAGTTTTTATAACGCTAACAAAAGTCAAAGTACTAGAGAATGCCAAGTGCCTAATGACTGCTGAAGTTAGCAGGAGAAGCTAAAACTGAGAGACACAAACTAAAAGAAGCAGAACAGTAGCTAAAAACATTTTAAAACGTCAAATAGATGTTAAAACTAGCACAAATATAGCTAAAAGTAACAAAATAGATGCTAAAATGAGAAAAACTAACCAAATCTAACTATAAAATTAGTACAACAGCAGCAAAACAACAGCTAAAATAAGCAAAACAGATGCTAAACTTTTGGCTACTTCTAAGAAAACTGTCTTCAAACAAAAAATATTAAAGCTTTACCTGCAAAACAATATTAAAAATAAAAAGAACTAAAGCTAAATGCTAAAAGGAAGAAAAAAAAAACAGTAGGTAAAATATGAGTAGCAAAACGGTCTCTAAAAATAGTTGAATGGTAGCTTAAAGCAAAAGTAGAATAAAAAATATGATGGTGCAAGTATCCTATTGCTGATTTCAAATAGTTGAATGGTTTTGTAGTTATGAGTATTTGGTTTTGTAGTTATGAGTATTTTTTTTAAATACTGTATCATAAAAAAATATAAAACATAACACACCAAGCCAAATAATCTGAAAATGTTCGATATACAAATTGCTGAAATACCACAAAGTATAAGCAAGAAGTTGTATTGCAAAAAATAAAAATAATAAACCTATGGGAGAAACATCTGAATCCTAACTCATTATTCAAACAATTGCAGAGCCAAAAAATAAAAAATAAAAAAAAGTACCGTACTTGCACTCATGGATGTTTTACCCATTTATTGCTACTATAAAATTAGTCATGGTTGTCTAAATTGACCTATTGGGAAGAAAAAAAAAAGTTTTTGCCAAAGTGAAATCAAATCTCTACTAAGTAGAAGATGCACTGCCTGGCCAAAAACAAAGTCTCCACCTGGATTTAACTAAGCAAATAGGTACGAGCCTCCTGTTGGATAATTACTGCATGGGTGATTATCTTTCAGCTGCAACAAGTTATTTAACCCCAACTGGTGCAATGAGTTGCTTCTCATTTCTTAAACAACCATGTTAAAGACACATCACGTGGTCGTGGAAAAGATGTCAGTCTGTTTGAGAAGGGTCAGATCACTGGCATCAAGCAGAGAAAACATCTGAGATTGCAAAAACTACTAAAACTGGGTTAAGAACTGTCCAACGCATTATTAAAAACTGGAAGGATAGTGGGGACCCATCGTCTTCGAGGAAGAAATGTGGCCTACTGTACCAGCCTGTGGGGACAGTGCTATGATGTGGGGTTGCTGCAGTTGGTCAGGTCTAGGTTCAGCCACAGTATGTGCACAAAGAATGAGGTCAGCTGACTAAATATACAATATATACCTGAATATACTGAAGGACCAGTTTATTCCATCAATGATTTTTTTTTTCCCTGATGGCACAGGCATATTCCAAGGTGACAATGCTAGGATTCATCAGGCTCAAATTGTGAAAGAGTGGTTCTGGGAGCATGAGACATCATTTTCACACAGGGATTGGCCACCACAGAGTCCAGCCCATTAAACCCATTGAGAATCTTTGGGATGTGTTGGAGAAGGCTTTGCGCAGTGGTCAGAATCTGCCATCATCAATGCAAGATCTTGGTGAAAAATTAATGCAACACTGGATGGAAATAGATCTTGTGACATTGCAGAAGTTTATCAAACAATGCCACAGTGAATGCTGCTGTAATCAAAGCTAAAGGCGGTCTAACAAAATATTACAGTGAGCTTTTTTTGGTGGCGACTTTTTTGGGGGCCAGGCAGTGTATATGTAAATATTCTGTAAAATTAAAATAAGTGACTACACAAATATTCTGCCCCTTTAAAGTAACTGTTCTAATTCACTTCAGAGAAAAGATGGTTGACAAGGACAAGTCAGGATTGAGGAGATTGATGCAAAAGATTTCCAAGGCCTTCAACATCCCCAGGAGTCCTGTTGAATCTATCATCAGTCTCTCCCAGCTCACCCCCTGAAACTTGTAGCTCCTGGGCCACATATGTCTCAGTGGCCTCTCTCACTATTCTCCTTCCATCATGATCATTTAAATCGACTGCCAGCTTTTGGTAGATTTACACTTCATCCTATTCTCCTTCCATCTCTTGATGATGAATTTAACAGAACTCCTGGAATAAGTTTAGGGCCTTGGAAATCAGTGAATCCATCCCCTGACTTCTTCCAGTTGTTGCTTTTCTTCCGGTGGCTCTCTTCTGTAGGGCTTGCTACAGCGAGTGAAATCACATGAAGGATTTGGCAAATGTTGAACACCAGATGTCCTTCCCGATACTACCTGGACTCAAACCTACAGCCTCAGGACGACAAGCCTGTGGCTCTGAACACCAAGCTACTGCAGCCCCTCCGTTTGTACTTTTCAATAATCTTTTCTCCAAGTTGAATTAGAACTGTTGATTTAAAAGGGGGGTGAATAAAATCCCTTATTTCAAATTACATATTTTAATGCAATTTGCATAACCTTGTTGTTGAGGTCATGTGAAAAGACCAATTTATATTGACCATGACTGATTTATTGCAGCAATTAAAGTGGATAAGGGTGAATACGTTTAATGGGCACTGTATAAAACTTACCGAAGTGTGTATAGGCCTGTCACGATAACAAATTTTGCTGGGCGATTAACGGTTATTTTAGTTTATTGCGATAAACAATAATATTGTTTGAAATTTGACAATAATTGGTAATTATTGTCAAATTTAAAAAGAAATGTTGGTTAATTTGTTTTGTGTGTAGTACTTTTTTTCAACCACCAGATGGCAGTATAAGACTGAACCGAAGGATGGATAGTGAGGAAGCAAGCAGCGTGTCTAAAAAAAATGGGAGGGAGGCCCCTTGACGTGACATGGACTGTTTCTCTTTTCGTTTTGTCAGTTCTCAAAATGGTGGATGCTCGGTGTGGTTTGAGCTCTTTAGCATAGCATAGCAACACAAAGCTTTTAATAAAAAAAATAAAAAAATAATCAGTAAACAAGTTCTCCGCTTCTTTTTGCAGAGAAAAACAACTTTTTAGACGAAGGCACGGGTTTCAACTGTGAATTTTGGAGCTTCAACAAGATGGACATCTCATAATTTTCACATAATCCAACACATGAGAGGTTAGCTGCCCCTTTTTGGCATTTCATCAACACTAATGTATTCCATCCATCCATCCATTATCTTTTACCCGCTTCTTCCATTTTGGGTCAATCACTGTGCGAGGGGCGGGGTACACATTGGACAGGTCTCCAGTCCATCACAAGGACACAGACACAAACGAGACAACCATTCACTCTGTCACCTAGGGACAATTTAGAGTTACCAATCAGTCTAACATGCATGTTTTTGGTCTGTGGGAGGAAACTGGAGTACCCAGAGAAAACCCGTGCTTGCATGGAGAGAACATGCAAACTCCACCCAGGAAGGTCCCGAACCGGGATTTGAACTGGCAACCTTCTCGCTGAGAGGCAGCAGCGCTACCAGTTGCGCCACCGTGCTGCCCGCTCTAATGTATTAAATGGCAAAACCTCTTAAGACAGTATTATAAAAACGTACATTAAAAGTTGACTGGACATTATGATACAGGGGTGCTGAAGCTTTGATGGGTGAAACGCAACCTCACAGTAAACAGGCTGTAACTGGAGTCAGGAATGTAATGTGAACTGGGCCTCAGCTGGACCACATCATGCTTTTAACACCAACTGGGAAACCAAACGACAGATTAATGTGTCTGAGCACAATGGAGAAACCATTAAACAGAAGGTGCTGTTACTGCAGTAACTCTGACAGTAAAAAACAACTAATACATTAACTAAACTTTGCCATGATTCAACCTGAAACACCAAACTCCAGCTAAGCGTTTTCCAAATCAGTGAATTCTTTCCCAACTCTAAACCCTGACTTGCAGGCTGTCATGTGAGTCCTGCAGACTTTGTCCCAAACCTCAGCAACAGGTTGTTCCTGTGAGACTTCAGCAGTCATTGACAGCCAGACGTCACCAGTGAACCGATCATTTCACTCCAACAAGCGTATACAATGAGTTAAATACACGCAATAGAAGAAGGTGGTGTTGCTTCATTTACATTTGGAAACAGCAGTTATTTCCTCCCTTGACAGAACCACCCATCTGAACAGTTGCACACATCTTGCTCTGCAAGTCAAATTAATAAATAACAGGCGGAACAAAGACATTAACCTTCAGCTTGAAAACATCATAAAGGCTGACATATGGGAAAATTCACGAGTTGACATTTGTGCTTTAGCTAGAAGACAACGTAAAAGTTTATGTTAAAGTTCATTTTAAAGCATCAAATTGTTGACAAAAATCGGTTTTTAACCAAATTTTGTGCAAAGTGCTACTTTTGTAGAATAAACATATTTTCTCTTCCAAAGAAATCAACTTTAAATGTGTGCCGAATTAAAGAAGGGCTTTTATAAAATACAAATCTATCGTTTTGTCATTTTTAAAACCCTTCAAATTCAAACCAATTTAAGGTGAATTTAATTCCACAGTTTTCATAACAGAGTTCGGCGTGCTCCTATAGGCGACCAACGAGGACTGCAGAAAGGGCAACAGCGTCAAAACGTGAGTGTTTCCGACTTATTTATAATAAGAAGAACAAGAGAAGAGTTAAAAACAGCGTGTCACAGCGACATACCACAGCGGCCGGCTCTCTGGTTCTGGTCGCCGTGGTTCGTGTTCGCCATGCCGGCCGGGAGGACGCTACAGGTGGGTGCCAGGTAGCCTCCGCCCGGAGTGGTCCATGATGATGCTGCTGGGGCTACCGCTACAACACGGCTTCCTCCTCGGCTCCTGAACGCAGCTTAACGCTCACAAACAGCCAGAGCCGGGTCATCTACCGTCACATGAAGTCACTGCAGGGGGGAGGCGAACAGAAGGCGGCTGAACACAAACACCACGTCGCAGCTCTCTTCCTTCAGCAAGTGCACTTGACTCGCTGACGCCAACTCACCGCTTCCTCGAGTGGAGCCGAATTCATTTAAAACTACCGACGAGTTTCCTTTGCCTCTCCAACATCAGCAGAATAACAGGAAATCGGTTGCCATATTTTTTTTAAATTAAATTTAAAGCCATCTTTATTACGGTTTAACTAATATTTAACATTTCATACCTGTTTCTCTGCTTCCGCCGCCATTTTAAAACAAACTTGTAAGTGGAGAGCCGTGTAATCGAGTGCAGAACGACACCGATGGATTCACCTGTCCGGACCTGAAGGCATCACTAATCGACCTGACACCTGCACTAATGCAAGAAAAAACAGGTAAACTGTAAAACATTATGTTCTAATTGAGATTCGTGCAGTTTAATGAGCATGCATACATTTAAAAATATAAATTACTCTCTGATCTATCAATTTATCACTTTATAGGCTGGAGTACTCATTATTAAAATGTCAAATTTATTTATTTGGGGGGTAGTCGCAAATGAAATGCTGCTGCCAAGAGTTCTGTAAAGATATTTCTTACAAAGCCTAATGTCAGATCTGGTTCTGCTGGAGCTTCTTGTGAAAAGGTCATTCCTTTTCACTGTTGCTACGGTTCTGTTCAGGATGGACTGGGATGAAGTTCAGATTTAATGATGCCTTCCTTAGTTAACGTTTAATGGAATATTCAGTGGTTCCCAACCCAGGTCCTTGAGGAACACCGTCCTGCATGTTTTAGTTGTTTCTCTGCTCCAACACCAGATTGTGATTTAATTACTTCGTGTTCTGCAGAAGCTGGTTAATCACCATTCACTTAGATCAGATGTGTCAAAGCAGGGAAACAACATGCAGGATGGTGTTCCTCAAGGATCAGGGTTGGGAACCATTGCTTTATGGGACAGTATAGGCTGTGGTAGCTCAGTGGTCAGTGCCACGGTCTTGCAAACATTTTTGGCTGCAGGTTCAAGCCTAGGTTAATTGCCAAATGTTTCTCATTCGTTCACTAGCTGGGCAACTCAAGCAAAGCAACTTTTAGTATGGCATTATAATAGGAAGGACTTGAATTGGATTTTTAAGTTTAAGTTGGACTGTTTTTTTTATCTTCATCATAGTGCACCAAGATGACATTTGTTGTACTTTGTATAATGATGTGACTGAACTGCATATACTTGAACTGCTTGTAATACTATATATTAGTTGTATTTATATTGGTGTTTAATAATTAAGCTTGTGTTCATTTGATGTTTTCTACAAGACCAAATAGTGTCTAAAAAATGGATGGAAAAAGTCTGATTAAAAAAAATAAAAACTCATTTAAACCCGGCCCTGTGACCTGTCCCACCTCCCGCAGTGACTGCTGGATATGGGCACCCGTGATCTCCATGACCCTAAAAGGAAGCGGTTAAGATAATGGATGGATCGACCAACTTTTAAAACTGTACAACAGATTGTATGAGCATCGTTTCATAAAAAATATAGAATTGTTGATGCATTGACCTAAAAAGTACATTGAATAATTTCCCAAAGCTGTTATTTAAATATCTACTGCAATGGTTCCAAACATTTGATTTTTTAATTCACTAATTAGATCAGACTTTTGACACTTGTATTTACAAGTATCCAGACATTACTAACAGGCTTTTGAACATCAACCACTGAAGGTTTCCTCCCTCTTAAGGTTATATTCAGCCAAATTAAAGTTAGGTGGCGCAGTTGCTTCTCAGTGAGAAGGTCGCCGGTTCAAATCCTGACCTGGGGCCTTTCTGGGTGGAGTTTGCATGTTCTCTCCGTACATGCCTGGATTTTCTCTGGGTACTCCAGTTTCCTCCCAAAGACCAAAAACTTGCATGTTAGACTGATTGGTAACTCTGAATTGTCCCTAGGTGAGAGAGTGAATGGTTGTTTGTCTCGTTTGTCTCCATGTGTCCCTGTGATGGACTGGAGACTCTTATTGTAATTTAATTTGGGCTAGTACTTATCCTTCTTACTTACAATCATCCAATAAACTTGAAAAAAAAATTGTAAGAATTGTCACATATTTTTCAGACAATAAGGCTTGGCAATATCAATGAACAGGTCTGTTTTCAGGCACATTAAGCAAAACTAAAACATTTTAGGGGGAGTGGTGGCGCAGAGGTTAGAGAAGGTGGGCCTGTGATCAGAAGATTGCCAGTTCAAGCCCTGGTACCGACAACATCAAAAATGTGGGTAGGTGAAGCACCCACACCTGCTCCCACCCTCATTCACCCCACTCTGGGCCCATGAGCAAGGCCCTTAACCCCCACTATCTGCTCCCTAAACACGTCTCTCTTGAAAATGAGTTCTCGTGGCTCAGTGAGACTACCTGGATAAATAAAAGCTAAATGAAAAAAAAAAAAACTTTTGGACAGATTTTTGAGCACTGTGTACCACATAAAATTGGTTCGAGGTCAGTGAGCACAACTGGATCCTGCCGGAACAAGATCCAGGAACTCTCTCATTTAGACTGGGTGCATTCCGGCAACTGTGCTTGGATCCGACAACTCAAATTTCAGCCACTAAAAGTCCAAAGTCATTGCGCATTTATATTTTGATTATTTATTTAAAAATACACTGCCTGGCCAAAAAACAAAGTCTCCACATGGATTTAACTAAGTAAACGGGTAAAAGCCTCCTATTGGATAATTACTGCATGAGCGATTATCTTTCAGCTGCAACAAGTTATTTAATCCCAACTGGTGCAATGAGTTGCTTTTCATTTCTTAAACAACCATGTTGAAGGACACCTCACATGGTCGTGGAAAAGATGTCATTCTGTTTGAGAAGGGTCAAATCATTGGCATCAAGCAGAGAAAACATCTGAGATTGCAGAAACAACTAAAATTGGGTTAAGAACTGTCCAACGCATTATTAAAAACTGGAAGGATGAAATCAAATAGAAGAAAAACAACAGCAGCACTCAGGGCTGTGTTTAATAGTGAAAGTAAGAGCATTTCCACACGCACAATGTAAAGGAACTCAAGAGATTAAGACTGAACAGCTGTGTAGCCTTAAGAAAACCACTAATCAGTGAGGCTAACTGGAAAAAAAGCTTCAATTTGCTAGGGAGCATAAAGATTGGACTCTGGAGCAATGGAAGGTCATGTGGTCTGATGAGTCCAGATTTACTCTGTTCCAGAGTGATGGATGCATCAGGGTAAGAAGAGAGGAAGGTGAAGTGATGCACCCATCATGTCTAGTGTCTAGTCATCAATGCAAGATCTTGGTGAAAAATTAATGCAACACTGGATGGAAATAGATCTTGTGACGTTGCAGAAGTTTATCAAACAATGCCACAGTGAATGCTGCTGTAATCAAAGCTAAAGGCGAAATATTAGTGTATGACCTTTTTTTGGGGGGGGGCAACTTTTTTTGGCCAGGCAGTGTACAACAAGAGGAGACGTTGCCCAGTCGGTGGAATGGATGTTCCGGCCGCACTGCATGCACCAACTCGTGCACATGCTCCTGCCCAGCAGAGACGCAGATCACTTGCCCCACAGGGAGCGTCTTCATCCACCTTCAGCCGTGCGCTCTGCAGACAGTGCACGTTTTACGCACAGGAGCGTCTCCAGACAGCTCTACTGACCGCACGTACAACTGCTGATGGGTCTGAACTCCTGCGTACATTTCAGACATAATAATATTAATAATAATAAATAACAAAGCTTACAGTAAAAAAAAAAAAAGGGAGAGAAATGTTTGATGTGTATTATTCACATCACATTTCAAAACGACACTAATTTGTCAAAATAAAAATGATCAGAATGTCGAAAAGACAATTTACTTTCATAAAATAAATGGATGGTGCAACTGGTAGAGCTGCTGCCTCTCGGCACGCAGGTCTCTAGTTCAAATCCCGGTCCGTGGGCCTTTATGATAGAATCAGACCTACTCTATTCTATTCACACACTCAGGCTTTGTTGTTGTTGCACTTAAATAATAATTTCAATTCAACCTTTATTTATACAGGTTGTTAGCATTGAGTGTCGAGGCTTCATTTACAAGTGAGACCCATTTTTAATCAATTTAATAAAATGTTTAACAACCCATTAAAATACACCAATACGCCTATTTGTGTTCCAGCATCATTCGGTTTACAAATTAAGCCCTGGGCGCACCGGATTATAAGGCTCGCTGTTGATTTTTGAGAAAAATTAAAGGATTTTAAGTGTGCCTTGTAGTATGAAAAATACAGCAATTCTCCAAGTTTATCTCCATCCACACCTGTTTAAAAAAAATTACAAATACTTACAAGTCATATGTATTCCATTATCCTCACCTAAATATTTTCATAATTTCTTAAGAGTTTAATTCATATCAACATGCATACTCTACAAGGAGGTATGATTTCTATGTCCCCTTCTGTAGAACCACTGTTGCCAAATGTTCATTCATGCATCAAGGTGTTGTGCTGTGGAACAGTTTCAGTCAACTAAGTGAATCATGTACAACATTATCTGTATTTAAAAGTTCAGTTTATACATTTTTTTGTTATTTAAATATTTTTGGACAATTTAAATTTATGAACTATTATCCATTATAGTGTGTATTTGTGTTTAATGTAAGCTTATGTATAAAACTTGTATATTTTTTAGAAAGGGGCGGGGCCTCTTGTAAGCCCATTTTGTGTTTTTATGACCTCAAGCATTGTTTCTTTGTGCAAACAATAAAATAAAATGTCACGGGTGTCCTCCACCTCTCACAGTGTCTTCTGGATATGGACACCAGTGACCAACGTGACCCAAAAAGTAGGTAAAGATAATTCAGTAATGGTTTTTCTTCAAGGTCACTGGAGCACAGTAGTTGTTGATGACTCAGCTCTCTGGTGCCACCATGCGGTCATTGTGCAACATGGTCACATTGGTGCTGACAAACAACTCCCACTAAGGTTTGGTTCGTTTCTTTATTAGATGTTGGGAAAATCCACAATGAAACAAAATAATTTACTCAGGGTGTACATGAAATCAGAACACATCTACTCAGGACAGATGGGGTTTAGGAACGTAAAGGACGAGGGAGGAGGAGGGGGTGGAGGAATGAAAAATACCAGGAGAAATCATGTTTTCAGTGTTGGTTATGTTTTCTGTCTTTAGAAACTCTGCACACCTTTCAACACATAAACCTTCAGTGAACATGTTTCCCTGTCAAACATGTATTTTTATTTTTGTCCTTGTTTTAAACAGCCCATCAAAACAGACTTGAATGAAGATGTGATGATCCGTCCCACGTAAATGCTTCTTGTTCACACACACACAGAACATTTGCTCACGGATTTAACCTGCTTTTAAACTAAAATGTGTTTTCTTTAACTTAAAAAATGGGAGTGTGATGTTTGCATGCTTTTTTTTTTCCTCAGTAACATTCCTAACTTTGTTTTTTAGTTGTCCCTTGCTCTAAAAGTAACCCGCATGCAAAATTAACTGCACGACCTTCACCTCCTTTTCGTCTCGAATGTTTACGTGCCATAGTTTGCATAGAACTCGGGGGCTTCCCCTCTAAACTGCTTATGCAATCTACAATGGCTTTATTTTTTTAATCAACTAAAGCTCTACATTAATGACAGCCACATATGATTTGCTTGAAATAAACTGTCAATTAAAAAAAATATTGCATCAATACAATGTCACAGGTCTGAGTGTATGTGTGTATTAAAAAATTCCTGAGTCTCTGACTGTCAAAGAAAAGAGGGGGACAAGATCCTGAAGTTGCACAAGTTTCATATAATGCTTCAATTTTTTTAAATTTATTATAATTTTTGTTGAAGATGCATCGACCCAAAACACATCTGAAGCTTAAACAAACTTGTTAAAACAGAAGCCATTTAGCCAAAGCCATGCTGAGCAGCCTTCAGCTGGGGCAGCACACCAAACACCTCCTTACGTTCTTATTACAGAATAGCTGCGCTTTACTTTCCTGCTAGTTGTGACGATAAACTCATCTGTTACAGACTGCTTAAAAAAATTAAATGATATTGAACACAACGCATTTGAGGTTCAAATCAATTTAAATTTTCAAACATAGGATTCTAAAGCACGGCTCTGAGTTTTTATAGTTTTTTTTTTTTTTTTAAAGGTTTTAGATTCACGGCGCAGCGCGCATGCATCTGTGTTCCTGTGACCGTCCGGTTGGGACAGAAACGCATCGCTGCCACCCCAGCAAAAATAAAATGGAACCTGATCACATTAGAATTTGAAATTTTAGAGCAATACATTAAAACAAAATGTGTTTACATTATTTTAATGCTTACCAGGTAATAAAAGAAATGATGTTATCCCTATAATTTTTATTTTGTAATACTGAGACAAATTCTTTTAATGACAAAAAATGTGATGTTTGATACAGTACCGCTTCCCCTGGATCAGTTCAGGGCGCTCATCTAATTTATTTTTGTTGACGGGGTCGGGGGTTCGAAATCGAGACACGTCTGTGTTGCAGGCTAGCGTAGCGCTACTTCTATAGCATTTTAGCTAGCGTGTATTTGCGCTCCGCTTGTTTAGCGCTACGTCAATGCCGTCGGTTTTCGAGGGGGGGGTCTATAATTGAGACACGTCTGTGTTGCGCATCAGCTTAGCGCTACGTCAGTAGCATTTTGCTAGCGCGTCTGTATTGCACTCAGGTTGTTTAGTGCTACGTCAGTGCGGGGGTGGGGTGAAGGATGTTTCCGTAGGCAGGGCGCTCGGTTCTGTTGACAGGGCGGGGTGCCCTCCTTGTGTAACGGTGGGGAAACACTGCAGTAAAATAATGAAAATATTTGAAAGCATGTGAAACTTTGAACTATGTCGAAACATGTTGGAACTTTATAACGTTTAGAACAGGCGTCCATTTTATTTTTGCAGGAGTGACAGCTTCCATTTAATAGTCAACATTTCACGGAGATAAAAGTTAAAAAATAATCTGCATCATCTCCTTCACCAGTTCTACGTCAGCACACTAAAAACTGTCAGACGATCCTTTTTTATATTTTACGGAAGAAAAAAAATTAAAAGAAAAAAAAAAACCACACACCTCATATGAAACAAATCTTGAGAGTAAATTCTGGTGTTTTTGGTTTAGTGTTTACACTACAACACTTGTTTACTTATTTGTTTGCACAGTGGACAGTTTGGTGGTTGTGTCCCGTTTTGTTTTTGGGGCTCTGAACTGAAAAGTTCTGTAGTAAAATGAGCTTTAAACTATTTTTCTGCTTCAGCAATTACAGGTCAGACGAACTATGTTACCTGAACATAAACAATCTAAGCCACTTTAAGTCTGAACCTTTTTCCCCCAAAAAAACTGTATTTGTGGAGTCTGGTCAACAAACAAAATATACCATCAACTTCTTACAGCGGTATTATTAAACTGTAACTTTAAAAGATTTCTGAACATATTTATAGCACCAAGTCTGTACCGTAGAAATTAAAAAGATAAAAAATATCGAAGTTGCAACACAAGTTTCTGGAAAAATAGATATAGTTGTGCCATCTCACGAGCTTTTAACTCAAAACAAGTTTTGTTTGTTTTTGATCCCAATTTTTACAGCATTGTATTTTAAAGCTGATTTTTGATATTTTTCCTACAAAACTTTTTGATTTCTGATTATTTTTCAGTTCAAACGGTTAATTTTAGCCTCACAAACCACACTATTTCTACAACTAGGCTTTAGAAAGACTTTCACCATTCAAAAAAAAAAAAAGACAAACTTGTCACACACAGGGAAGTTGCGGATATTTAGAAGAAAGCTGCACACGTTCTCAGTTTCACATTCAGAAAATCATCCAAACTATTTTAATTAAACTCTTGAATTGTTCAAAAACTCAAAACTCTACATCCTTGCACTGTCTTTGAACTGAAGATGGCCAGGTAGAGGATGTGATAGCAGTCGTTTCACACATTAGGTTTAGCTAGAAAAGAGGCGTGAGCGGCTGGACGAACACATGCACAACCATTCGGACACCACCAACCACCACAATCTTGGTTCAAACTCAAAATGGTGGGAACAAAAACTGACAGAATAGAATGAAATATCGTCTCTACAAGCTAACTGAGTCTTGAAAAGGACCGGAGCACAAGACTCATGGCATCACCCAAAGACAGAACATGTTTTTTTTCTTGTTGATTTTTTTACGTATTTCTACTTTCACTTCTTTTGCCGATCTGATTGTTGATTACACGAGGTTGTTTTGAAGTTAGTAAATGAAAAACCAATAGGGGTGGTGTTGAGGTTTTGGACAGGCTTCTCAGAAAATTAGCCTACGTTAAGGTTTGTCAGCTCTGAGATGACCCTGAATCTTTGCTGGTAGAGGTCCAGTCTCAAGAGCAGGGGAAGGTTTCCTCTCTGTGACAGGAGTCCTCGGCAAAATTGGAGACTTCAAATGTTGCTGTTTCCTGGAGGAAGAACAACAAACCAGTTAGATTGTTGCAAAACTTAACAGTTTAATTAATTAAACAAACAATAAAAAAGAGCTGGTTGTAACTTTCCCACAGATTAAGAACTACCTCTAAATATCCAACAAAGTTCAGTCAGGTCATCTGGACGGTTTCTTTTTTTTTTTTTTTTTTTCCTAAGATGTTTCACTTCATGATGACTTGAATGAACATTGCTGGATTTTATACCTGGATTGTTGAGCATGAACTTTGGTGTTTTGAACCTCTGACATGACAATTGACAAGGAGTTGACGAGGGAGAGGGTGGGCCCCAGAAACCATATTAGCACCAGCAAACTGTTTTTTTTCCCCAACTATGGAGTATGCTGTTAGTGGGAATCAGTTTTGTTTGGTGGCTTCCTGGATTGAGGAAGTCCTTCGGATGAAGGATGAAACGTCTCAGCAAAAAAAAAAAAAAAAAAAAAAAAACGTCCAGATGACCTGAATGAACATTGTTGGATTTTTGAGCATGATCTTTGGGGGTACTTCTAAAAAGGCTCCGTGACCCGATTTTAAACCTGGATCTGAACATGTTCAAAAGCACTTGTTTGTAGGCCTCAGTGCTCCAGCTCTAGTGTGGAGTGGCACTCGGGACAAAACAAGCCATGACACCTCTGAGCAGTGAAATCCATTTTTGCACTTGCTTTGCTTAGACCACCATAAATTTTTGCCCCGCTCTCCTCAGAAAGGAGGTTGAGGAGCATTAAATGTAGAACCACTAGACTGAGGAACAGCTTCTACCCTGAGGCTGACTCATGAATATCTAACCTGAATAATCACTGTGAAAAGTCACATCATGTTGCTGCTGATCCGTTTCATGTTGCTGCTGATCCGTTTCATGTTGCTGTGTTCATTCATGCTCATCGGCTCACACAGACTCATGTTCGTGCTGCTGTTCGGCGTATAGTTTTTATGCTATTAGTGCTTAGCGTATTTTTAGCTGATGTTTTTCTTACTTCATATCTTAGATGTTATTATTGTTTTTCTTTTACATTTTATTGTTGGATGCAACTGGGACCCTGTGTACATAATTTTGTTCCACCACATGTACCACACATTGTGCAAATGACAAGAAACTGTATCTCTGTAATGTACAGTTTAGTTGACCAGTGTGCTGAGACGTTCACAGGTGCAGCAAACAAAAAGCAGATGGTGTTGCATGCAAACTACAAGTTTTCATTCACAGTTTTGAAAACTGTTCCTCTGAGCACTCCAACAACCTGTTGTGGTAAACAGGGCTCACTACTGGGTTTAGTGCATTAGCGTCAGAAGCATTTGTAATGTGGGGAGGACACAATGGTGTGTGTGTGTGGGGTCCTCCCCCAGAAACATTTGAATAAAGTAGATGCCATTTCTTGCATTCTGGTGTATTTTAATGGGTTGTTAAACATCTACATTTACCTACATAAGTAAAAACTTGATTCAACAACTATTTTAGAGAGCAACAAGAAGTAGCCTGACCAACAGCTCTCCTTGTGTGAATAGAGCACGCTCCACTTCTCTCAAGCATCCTAGCCCCCCACCCCAATGTAGAAAACTGCTAGAACTAACGTAGCACTAAGCTAGCAGCGCGCAATACAGACACGTTAGCTAGGATGCTACAGACGTAGCGCTCTGCTTCTCTCATACATCCTAACCCCACACACTTGTCAACAACTGCCAGCACTAAGCTAGTTTGCAAAAAAGAGGTGTCTCCCTGTCCTCCTCATGTGAGCACCCTACCAAGGCAGATGACTGAAACACTGCATGCGGTGGCGAGTTGTTGTAGGTAACCAGGAAAACCTGGAGTGGACTTTTAGGGGTTTCAGTATTCTCCTATTAATCAAGTGGAATGGATTTGTGTTCATGAAGAAATGGAAACAGCGCTGCTGGATGAACTATTATTTCATGGTAAAAGTGTGTGTATGTGTGTGGGTGGGTGGGTGGGTGGGTGGGTGGGGGGGGGGCATGGTTCAAACAAATATTTTTAAACGTGTGTGTGTGGGGGGGGGGGGGGCACATGACGTCATCTTCATGTATAATTGTTGCGACGCCTATGGTTTAGTGGCAAGCTCAAACAAGTTTTATTGAAATGAGTATCAAGGAAAACTTTGGCCATATCAATGTAGATTTCCATGTACAAGTAATTAACATTTTATCTGTTGTAGATAATTGAACAACCTCAGTTTGGATAAGTTGACATCATACTAATAAAAACATAGGGTATCCCCTCCAACAGTTACAAATGCTATGAAGACAGCCCAAATCTGCTTTAAGATGAAACACAAAGAGCATCCAAGCTAGTAAAACAGCTAAAATTGAAAGGCTACATCAACAGGTCTCTCTTGTAAATGAGTCCCCGAGGCTCAGTGGGATTAACCTGTCTAAATAAAGGTTGAATGAATGAAAAAAACAAGAATGAAAACCCATGAACTTTACAACTGCAGCTTTAGATTAAAAAAAAAATTCTGTTTTCATCAAATCCAACAGCATTTTAATTTTTCTGGGACGGTGTTGTACTGAGAGTTCAGTGTAAATCTGACAGGTGGAAATGTTTCAGCAGAGTTTAGATGAAAACTGACAAAAACCCTCATTCATGAAAGCACCATAGCAGATCAACTCAAATAAAAATGGCAAAAGCATCCAAGTGATAAAAATGCATGGATTTACCTGTGCACTGAGATCCAGGAAAAAGGGGGGAACAAACTGCATTCTGCCACCAGCACTCATCCTGCTGGTTGCCCGTTCCTCCCTGCCCACTTAGATTTAACAGAGGAAACTAGACAAAACAAACAAGAAGTGGTCGTTTTGTTTCAGAAGACCATAAACAGACCTACCATGACACTTGTTTTAACTTTAATAAACACAATAATTAAAACAAATAAAATCATTATTAGAAAGTGCTTACCTCTGGCATATCACCAACATAGTCATAAGCAATCCCATACTTTGGGATCTGACCTGCTGGTGAACATAAACAAGACTGTTTTTCTCCTGAAGTTTCCTCTTCTTGAGTTTTGCCAACATCAGTGTGTTCACCTGCACTTGATGCGGCCGTTGCCGTTTCGCAGTTTAAGCAACTCTTTTGCTCAGGGATCGGCAGGAGGGTGTTGGAACCCTCCTGTGAATCCAAAGAAGTCTGGGCACTCTTCTCCATGCCAGACTTCTTTAATCTGGGTAAAAATTTACCCGATTCCAGTTCTGACTTCCCGTAATAAGGGCCTTCACATTCTGCATCCTCCTCCAGAGGTTTTAGATCAGCCTGAGGATCATCAAAGACGTCCGCTGGTGCTGCCGTAGAAAAACTCATCTCCTCTTTGTCGGTCTCAGCCTCCGAATCACTAACTCCACCAGGAGACAACTCTGAGGCTGATATTGGTCGGAAATGAGTCCTAGGGGAAATGCGAATGGCCCTATACTGTGTCCGGTTGAAGCCATATAATCGTGAGTGGAAGGCCTCACTCTCAGAGTCTGAGCAAAGAATGGACTTGGGCTTGAATCCTGGACTGAAAGAAGTCATGTCCTCAGGCTCAAACGAACACTCTACATGGAGGACTTGAGAGAAGGGATTGTTCAGGTTAAAGGATGCAAACGGATATTTTAAACTTTGCTCCTCACTGTGCCAGCCTCCGCAAGATCCAAGCAAATCTTCATGGAAGATCAAAGAAAATCCCTTATTCAGTCCATCTCCACCTCCTCTGTTGGCCTGGTCACTCTGCCCGAAGGACACGAGGGGCCTCCACAGGGGCCTGTGTCCAGGGGCAATGCAGCTGCCAGGGTTCATGAACACGTCTTTGCCAGTGATGGTAAGCATGTCTGAGCTAGACACAGAGGCAGCTGCAGCAGCACATTGTAGCAAACTATTGTGGGTATCACCTGGTGGCACAACAGCCCAGTTCTTATCACCACTTAGTGTTTTCAACTCTCCATACACCCCTCCAAGAATGAACGATGTACTGTCCTTGTCAGAGCTCAAGTCCCAGGGCTTGGACGGAGTCATGTAATCCCCTGCAGCATTGACCTTGGAGAGTTTGTTTTTGGCTATTTCCTGTTCTTCCTTCTTGCCTTCCCAGAGGTGATACTCAGAACGCTGCACTGCTTTTTTCTGGGGTTCCTGAATAGGAACTCCTTTTGTCTGGACCTCTAGACAATTGCAACAAAAAGAGCCTGGCTCATCTGAAAAAAGCCCCTTGTTTGTTGTTTCTGCTTCGTGCCTAGACATAGCAGAATTACCATCTCCAATTGCAGTCCAAATGTCTTTTATTATCCCTGAGCTGTAATCATCACTTTGTTGGTTTGTGTTGTCAGAAAATATGCCAGTGCTGTACTGTTTACTCTCATCCTCTTCCAGTGCTATGCCACAGACAGACTCCAATTTAGATTTTTTGGTAAAGGTCTGACTGGACACTGTGCTAGCACTGACCATTTCAGACTGTTTGCCAGAGTCCTCTTGTAAAAACTCTAGGATTTCATCTTCTAGATATGTACCAGAGAGAGGAGGAATAACAGAATCGGTCTCCTCGTTGCCAATTTGAGCAGCATCCTCCGCTGGTGCATTTCCCAGCTCATTGTCCGATCGAGTCTCCTCCGAATGCGACCACGGGCTGCAAGTTCGTGTTGATAGATTGGAACAGTGTTCAGTTTCATCAAAGGCACTATTTTTGGTCCATATTAGCAAACGTGACTGTTTATTTGAATGTGGGTCGAGACAGTTACTAGAGTCTGTGTTATTTTCATGACCAAAGGTGAGTGAGTCGCGGGGTAAGGGAAAAGTTGGGCTTTCATACTGCAACTCGAAAATGGAGAAGCAGGATGAGTTCAAACCAGATGGCTCACTGGTAGCTTCAAGAGCTGATGGCTCTTCCTGATTTCTAGGTAGCTTGCTAAGGGTCAATGAAACACTATCCAGAAGAGGTGAAAGCTGAACGGGAGAGTCTGCTATGAAGCTTTCTCCATCTATATCTTCAGAGGTGGATGGTGAATAACATCCCCACATCTGAACCATGTTTTCAAGATCCTCCATTAAGAATCCAATAGATCCAGAAGCTTCCTGCGAGTCAGCCCGTATTGCACTTTCCCCTTGCTGCTCAAGGCCATCTAACACTAAACAACATTCTGCCTCATTGTCTCCTTGCTCTTTGCTTTTCTGTCGAATCATGCTTAAGATCCGACTCTCCTGTATCGCATCTGAGGCACTAGTATCCAATATGGATTGATAAATATCAACTTCATAGAAGTGAGTGAATTCGGACAGATGCTTGTCATCTAAATCTCTACTATCCTCTGGCTGAGGACAGGCTGAAGTTCCAGTGAGGTCTGCAGTTTCTTCGTCTACTTCGCTGGGACCTTCCACAAAGTGCCCATCCACAAACGAGCCTGCCGCTAAATAGGCTTTCTGGTAGTTCTCATTGGCAATACAGATTCCCTGGATTTTTTCTGGCAGCCCCTCCACATCTGCTGTCAAACCAAAGTCATCCGGAGAGCCAACTTTGCTTCGATATTTTGTTTCAAGTTTGCTTTGACAGCTGCTGAAAGGTATAAGGTACTCTGTGATAGGCTCAGTGTACCAAAGCGGCTCCTCCATGTACTCTTTGTTTCTGCCCTCAACTCTGGACTCTTTTGTTTCTGCCCAGCCTGGCTCTTTGCGAATCTCCTTCAGCGGTCGTTTCCCCTTTTTGTAAAGCTGTGGTAGTTTGGCAGCATTGCCAGTTGTGCTGCTCCCACTCACCCCTGCAATTCTTTTCTCCTCTTTATCGATACGCTTCATCTGCAGCTTTACCTGCCCACTGTTGCGTGTTCTCTTAGTTTTGGCAGCCTCCCTGGATTTGTGCCTTATTCTAACTGTTTTGCTTCTGGATGACTTGGAGTCACCCTGGTTCCCACTTGAACTCGAGCCTGCCTCGCTAGAGCCAGAAGACCAGGATCTGGGTCGATATTTGCCCTCAGACCTGTGCCTAGTCTGTCTCTTTAAGTGACCAGTAGATTTCTCCTCTGCAGCTGCACCACTGTGGTATCTGTTTTCTTTCTCCTTCTTGCTTTGTCGTTGCTGGCCTCTGTCGCTGGTCACAGAGGTGATGGTGCTGAACGCCTCAATGTTTGGCTCCTTTGTCACTTCACCTTCGCTGTTGCAGTCTTTGGGGGAGGATGTGTCTGTGCTGGTTTGAGGGGCTGCAGAGGATGATGAACTGGAGTAAGCGCAGGCCTTTGCTTTGTTCCACACCGTCATGATCTCTTGGAGACAAACAGGTTTCTCTGACAAAGGAGGAAAGGCTTCATAATACCTGCAATCAAGAAACAAAAAATGGATTTAATTTAAACCAGTCTAGTTTAAACAACCAAACTATTGTGGGGATAGTCACAAGTGCCACATAAATGTTCACAACCATGAATCTTACATTTCCACCTGATCCTTTGAAGAGGGAGAATCAGCTCGCTCTGGTGATTGAGAGCCATCTGATTTCTTTTGAATGCACTTTTCTTCTGAAACATGAATCAAACAAAACATTTTATTAGAACACGCTGGTCAAGATTCTCAGTCATCCAGGACATGGTAAATTAAAAAAAGTTCAAGACAAAAACAAGTGGACTTTATTTGGAACCGAAGACGTTTCGCTTCTCATCCGAGGACCTTTCTCAACTCAAAGAAGAGAGAGTGTGGGGTTCGAGTTATAAAGCTGAGCTAAGCTAAATACATATGTAGATTACCATACCATACCAGTTTATTTATAAAGCACTTAAAACAGCGACAAGGCCAACCAAAGTGCTGTACAGACAGAACAACAGGTAACACACAAAGCAAAATACAAAATGAAGTAAATCAGAATCTAGACATAAAAACGATGCAGATAATGACGACAAACCAGTGTGGAGCATGCAGGATCAAAACACAGATCATCTGGTGTTGAAAGCCACCAAATAGTAGTGGGTTTTTAAACGGGACTTGAAAACTGAGAGGGAGGGGGCCTGTCTGACAAGCAGAGGTAACTCATTCCAAAGTCTAGGTCCTGCTACAGAGAAGGCCCTGTCACCTCTGCGCTTAAGACGAGATCCTGGAACTGTGAGAAGCAACTGGTTCGCTGACCTCAGGGAGCACGGTGGGACATACGGTTGTAGCAGATCAGAGAGATTTTTTTTTTTTGGGGGGGGGGGGGGTGTGTGTGTGACACTGTTCAGTGATTTGTAGACATACATGAGTATTTTGAACTGGATTCGAAAGTGAACCGGTAACCAGTGCAGGGAGGCCAAAACTGGTGTAATGTGCTCTCTTTTGCCTGTACTGGTTAAAAATCAGGCTGCTGCATTCTGGACCAGTTGTAGTCGTGCAATGGAGGTCTGACTGATACCAAACAGGAGTGAACTGCAGTAATCAAGCCTAGATGTAATGAATGCATGTATTACTTTCTCCAGGTTATTTTTGGACAATATGGGCTTCAGCTTAGACAGCCGCCTCGGAAGAAGCATGATTTAACAATCACGTTTTCGTGATTGTTAAGTTTCAGGGAAAGGTCCATTATCACGCCCAGATTAGTGATTCTTTGTTTTTCTGACAGGGTTAGAGCGGAAAGGTCGATGCAGTGGTTTGTGATTGTGTTGTTGGGAGGGAACATCATTTCAGTCTTCTTTTCATTGAAACTTAAGAAATTTAAAGCCATCCAGTCCCTGATGTCAGCCAGGCAGTTGAGCAGTGGTTGAATAGAGCATGTACCATTGTGTCTTAGGGGGAAGTAAATTTGACAGTCATCGGCATAGAAGTGGAAGGGCATGTTGTGTTTCCGGAAAATAGCACCAAGCGGCAGCAGGTATAAAGAGAATAGGAAGGGACCCAAGATGGACCCCTGCTGAAACCCCCCATTTAAGCTCTGCCTCTGCGGAACTAAAATCCTTGATGGAGACACAAAAGGATCTGTCAGCGAGGTAAGATCTGAACCAATTGAGGGCTGATCCTGTGACGCCCACCCACTGCTCCAACCTAGCAATGAGGATCTCATGGTCAATGGTGTCAAAGGCGGCTGTGAGGTCCAACAGGACAAGCAGCACAGAATCACCAGTATCTGTGGATCTGAAGATGTCGTTAAAGACCTTTAGCAGGGCAGTTTCAGTGCTGTGGAGAGGTTTAAAGCCAGATTGGAATAGCTCTAAGATGGTGTGACCTTCAAGGAAGCACTTCAACTGGGACTCGACTATTTTCTCCAGTAGTTTAGAAACAAATGGGAGTCTGGAGACAGGCCGGTAGTTGGAAACGACTGAGGGGTCAAGGTTTGGTTTTTTTCAAGAGAGGCTGGACAGCAGTATGTTTAAAGGATTTTGGCACCACGCCAGTGGATAAACTACTGTTTACTATATCAAGAATGGATGGACCTAGAGTTGGAAAAACCTCCTTTAGTAGTCGAGGGGGGACCACATCAAAGGGGGAACCAGATGGTTTTAAGCTGCACATGACCTGCTCTAGAGAAGATAGAGTGATGGGTTCAAAATGGTCAAATGGAGCTACAGATTGAGGTGGGATGGATGGGTCATGAGTTGGAGGGGAAATGAGAGCCCGGGTGGTCGCAATTTTTTCCAAAAAGAAATGTAAGAGGTTGTCGCACAGCTCAGTCGAGGCTTCCAGAGGTGATGGTTCAGTGAGGTGGAGAACAGAGTTTAGGGTGGAGAAGAAGACACGTGGGTTGCGAGAGTTTGAGGTAATTATATCAGAAGTATTTGGATTTAGCAGCTTTTACTGCTTTCTGATAACAGCGTCAACTCTCTTTAAGTATTTGAAAAGAGACCTGTAGCCTGTCTTTCCTCCACTTTCGTTCCGCCCTCCTACATTGATACATAGATTGCCCTATCACTACTCACAATAAGGGTTTGTTAGCATCGTTATTAGTCTGAGACATGGAGGAGCCATTCTGGTGACATGGCTGAAGTTCCTGATAGGTGTGAAAATGACTGGGTTATCAGGCCTAAAGCTGCATTATAAAGGCTCGCACAGACTCGGGCGGTCCTCAGTCCGTGTGGAAACAGTAAACTGTGCGCAGAAGGTTGAGACTTCATACCCTGAGCAGCTGCAGCCAGCTCCGCAGGCAAGTGGTGTTTATCTTAAGGACAAATTGAGTTTGCCGATTGGTAATTTGCTGACATGCCTACTGGATTGACAGGTTGCAAAAAAAAATAAAAATAAATGTAGACCTGGCAGCAAGATGCAGCGGTGTTCTGTGTTTATATGCTGTTAATAAAAAGTTCTAAAAAATATAAAATAAACAGAGTGCTGGCCTTGAAGCCCACACATAAGATCAGCCCACCAGGGAACCTACAGACCCTCCCGCAGCCACACTGGACCTCAGTTTAATTCGCTCGTGACAAATTCCTTAATTTCTCGGATTTTGTGTTTACATGCATACAGAGGAATCCCCCCCCCCCCCCCCCCTCCTGAATCCTCCGTAGTTACCATGACGGGTCATTAGATGGTGCTGTGAATTTCTTTCCTGTGGGCTAAAAGTTCAGCTAACAACAATTTAATAACAAGTTAAAGCTGGATTTTGGCTGGATTGTGGATAAGAGTCAACAGATTTGACGCCAAGCAGGACTGCTTCGTCTAACAGCTCCACACACCGGTCGCTGAGTGGACCAGAACAGAGTCGACGATGTCGGACTTTACTCCGTGATAATCAGTAGCTTCTTTGACAGCAAGTAAATCAAATGTTCTTAATAATGTTAGCTTGTGTTTATTTCGATCACAAAACAACCGAGTTGTTGTTGTTTTTATTTTTCCTGAAAGAAGAAGAAGCTGTCCTCGTTCAGAACCGGTCCTTCCACCAGGCAGACTGGTTCTGAACGAGGATCGGCCCAGGTGCAGTGCAGGAGGACGTAGAAGAGAAAGATGTTGGATGAACTATTTATTTAAAATTCCCCTCATTTCTTTTATTCAATCCATTCAATGTTTTAGCTGCATTAATCAAAGGAGTGACAGCCTGAACGAGTCAGATGAACAACGTGGGACATCCAGGATGAAAACAAGAATCCAGTTCATTAATGCAGTTTACAGTTAACTTGTTTTAATAGTGTGTTCAGTTGAATTATCAGTGTTTGTGTGACATAAAGTTTGTGGTGTTGAATAAATAAATAAAAAATAAACCTGAAGTCTTCATTTTCAACTTTAGTGTTCACGCTATATGTTAAGCATCATTTTAAATTTGAATTACGTAATGTCCAGATAGCTTCATTTAGCTCAGAGCTTCATTATATCTCTCACACTAACATAAATAGTGTTTATTATTATTAAACTTATTATTTAGCACATTTAGAAGTTATAGTGCAGCGCGACGTGTGCGCATGCCTTGTTCTATAAACAGTGATATTAGAACTGGATCAGGTTGTGTCTCTTCCAACACAGATGTTGGTCACAGCACCTGGAATCTGACGTAGATTAACTACGAGATTAAAAATATATTCCATAAATCATAGTTCAGAAAGCACCGTGTCCGCCGCCATGTTGATAGAAATATAGCGTCTGTCTGCGTGTACGTGTACGTATGTTTAATACAAAGCCTCAGCAGGAGATGTTTACTTTATCAGCGGGGGGTCAGCGAAAAACCTCCACTCTGGAAGGTGGGTTCAGAAACCTCTGGATTCAAAGAGGGGGGGCCACTGGTGTCGTGTAAATGATCAGCAGAACCGCAGAGAGAAAGCTGCGGATATACTCGAAATATGTGCCGTGTAAACGGCCCCTTATAATGCAGCTTTAGGCCCGATACCCAGTCATTTTCACACCTATCAGGAATTTCAGCCATGTCACCAGAGCGGCTCCTCTGTGTCTCAGACTAACAAAGACGATAACAAACCCCTATTGTGGGTAGTGATAGGGAAATCTGCATATGTATTTAGCTTAGCTCAGCTTTATAACTCATACCCCACACTCTCTGCTCTTTGAATTGAGAAAGCTCCTCGGATGAGAAGCGAAACGTCTTGTTACAAATAAAGTCCAGTTGTTTGTTTCTTGAACTTTTTTTAATTTTATTACAACGTTTACGAATAAGTTTTTGTTTCACCAGCAGCTATCTAAATATGATAATAACAAAGCATCTTTGAGTATTTAGAAAAGCACTATACAAATAAAATGTGTTATTATTATTATTATTATTATAACATAGAATCAAACCTTTCTGTTTGTTCTGGATGTCCTTAAGTTTGGAGCAAAGCTCCTCAACCAGGCTCTCAATTTCAGAGTTCTGTACAGGAGGCAAAGACAAGAAAAACATTTGAGATTCACATTGTCCCACTAGATGTGCTCTTGTTCTTTAAATCTAAGAACTATAAACTGGCAATATAGGGTTTATTGCCTGATACACACATAAAAAATATTTTTTCGGCTGCTCCCTTCTTCAGGGGTTGCCATAGCGAAGTAAAGTGCACGAAGATTAAACAATATTTGAAAGAAAGACTGGTCATGGAGAGACTGCTTTGAAAGAATGGACATGATGGCAAAGTGAAGGCAGATGTGGGTGCTTCAGCTTCTTCACCCAAATTTTGATGTTAGGGTCAGCAGGGATTTAACCCAGCCACCTTCCAATTACAGGTTCACTTCTCCAACCTCTGCACCAACATACATGAAAATGTGTTCTGTAAAAATTGGTACATTTGAATGCAACGTCAAAAGTTGCATGGCCTGGCATTATGAACAGAACACAGTGCCATTTAGATATCTAATAAATTTGATAAAAGTTTATAGTTTGTACTTTCAACACAATCTACAAACGTGACTGAGAATGAAAGGTTTTGTAGCCCTGGGTAAGAGCACCCTAACGGGGACATAAAGAAGCTACGACAGGCAGGAGGTTGACACACTTCAAACCAGAAGACTTGTGACAGTTCAGGCCTGCTCAGTCATGACGCTGCTATATTTAGCTGTAGTGAACAAATACTTTAAAAAATTGGCTAAGCAGCAGAGTGATCTCTTCTCCTTGCTGTCAACAGCATATACCGAGTCTGTCATCGTACAGACGTACAACTTGCACGTGACCAAAATACCTTGATCTCTCTTACTGCTGCGGGAGCTCGCAGCCTTTTTTGAATGTGAGACTTACGTTTTTGCGGCTTTAGTTATTATTTTTAAACCATATTAACACTAAAAGACAAATATTTGTAGATCTCAGATTATATTAAAGATGTCTTCATTTAACTTCGTTTTATTTCCCACCAAACTCACAAAGTTCCCTCTGTGAGGGAGTAAGTTTCAGGTGTTTGTAGTTTATCATAAATATCTGTACATCTGTATCTGTAGGTTTTCAACTATTTTGAGACGTGTACAAATGTGGAATGACAACATTTTTACCTTAGTACTAGCTTCCCAGAGAGACTGTGAGCTGCAAAGGATGCTGGGTAGCCTTGTGGCAAATATGTGTGTAATGTTTATGACGGTTTCAGAGGTTTATGGGTGTAGAAATTGGTTGTTGTTGTTAACGTCTTGTTCAGGTTTGGTTAGGCATTTATTTTAAAGTCTCTGTTATTGGCTGTAAACTGATACCATGAGTCAGAGGTTGTCTTTAGTATGTATAAGGGGGAAAGCACGTTCTGTTGCAGAGTGAAAGTGTGTACAGATACTAAAGGATGACGCCACACAAAGCAACGATGTTGTGACTTTACTGCTAGCACTTGTGAGATGCTACAGTATCCATGGAAGGACATGGTTTATGTCTTTTCACGTATTAAAAAAAAGTGTTTTGTGAAGTTAACGTTTTTTCTGTATACTTTTGGGGTGCGGGGAGACTGGGATCTCCAAAAAGAGTATGTTTTGTATGCTTGTGAAAATGTTGACATCTGTAAATCACCCCAAATATATAAATAAAACTAAGCCGAGTCCAGTGTCCTAAGAAAAACAAACACTCGACCTTGTCTCACAGACTCTTCTTTCCTCCATTTTAGTGAAGCAGACCCTTCACTACCAACCAGAGGAATAAATTAGCTAATTTTCTCTGTTGCCTTTCCCCCATAAAAAAAATGTTAAATGACATTTAAGTTTTAAGTATGAATTATACTATACTTTAATGGTAATGCAAACAGTGTCGGGATGTTGTTCTTATGCTTTTAAAATCTGAATGCCTGCACCATAATAAGCAACTTAGAATACAAATTTTATCGACATAGTTAAATAATATACACCATAAGAAAGACACTATTCATTCAAAAATCTTACTAAAGTTCAGTCGATGTCAGTTCATAAGCCTCCAAGGGTAATGATCACACCACAAACCGTAGCTGAATAAAATGTAGGATGACTAGCATCACTTGTCGCAAACATTTTGAGAACTGCAGGATTTCAGCAGTCAGACAGAACTCTTACTTCATCAGATGCAGAACGGAGGCATTGCACTGCAGCTTGCTTCTTCATTTCCTCTAGACTCAGGTCAGTCCCTCCTTTCTTCTTGCTCTTGCCCCATTTCTTCCCAGCTCCCTTCTCCCATCCCAGGAAGATGTCATTTTCCTGTCAAATTAAAGCAAAACAAGTAAAACACACGTGACAAACTTATGCTAAAAAGCACAGAATCAACAGCTGCCCTCTAAACACTCAACTTTTGATTAAGAACTGTGTATGAAAACTGTCTAAGCCCAGGGGTAATGTGTACTTAATGTGTAATGTGTACTTAAAAATGAAAAGGCAAAATAAAAGAGAGGACTCATCAGTGATAAAAGTGTCATGATGTAAAAGGAAACACTGCAGGTAATGTTGCTGGTAAACTGATATCTTTGTCTTCAGGCTCATTTTATATAAACAACAAGTTGGCCTATTTAACAACCACTGATATGACAATTTTCTGTTTTTTGGGTCTAATTTAACTTGGATTTTGGTTAAAGGAGCCCACCTGGTCCTGCAGGTCGTAGTCGTAGCTGTCGTGCAGGAGAAGGCTGAGAACATAGCGGGTGTAAATCATGGCATCAATCCCACACTTCTCAAGCTCCTGGCCGAGCCAGCTTTGCACTGGCCCTAGCGACTGGAGAAGGGACATCTCTGAGGCAGGCAGGGGCCCTGCGAGAGGGTAGGGGCAAGAGAGGTTCTCAGGAGGAACGGAACCGTCTGAATCGGTGCTTACTGGACGCATGGGAGCTCAGGTGTTGGTCATTCTCAGGCAGAGCAGCATGGTGATGGGTAGTTATTGTAGGGCGGTGGGTGGAGGAGCAAACAGCGAGAGGACGAGGCAGACCCTGTCTGGATGAGGGGGATGTCACTCCAGAAGGACGAGCTGAAGGAGTTCTACATGAGGAGGCATGTAGGAGTTTCTGTTTTTTCTTTTTTATTGCTTCAAGCAAAAAAAAAAAAAAAAAAAAAAAAAAGTGATTTTACTCGTGAGGCATGGCTTATGGAGCTGAAAGATCCCAGCTGCTGAGTAAAACACAACGCATGTCCATTTTGGAACAGTGCCCTACTTCACCGGCATAACCTGAAACAGACAAAATACTTACATCAGTTTAAAAAAATAACTTTCAATAGGTAAATAAAGCAAGCAGAAACCAGAGGAAACAAAGCATGGTTTTAAGTTTAAAAAGTGCATAAAAGAACAACAACAATGCCTTTAGACATTAAAGAGATGTGCCAGCCATGTCAAATTCCCTCACTCATTGCGGGGGTTACGTTCCAGACAACCATGTGATAGGTGAAAATCTGCAAAGTAGGGACATTATATTTAGTATTTATATATATGTTAAGGCTTTATAAGCCCTTCCCACACTCTTGCAATGTTCTTAACAATATTCTAAACACTCTAAAAGAGCTCAGCGAAAGAGAGCAGACAGACTGATGCTACGGTTACTGAGCCAATCGCCAGAGCGGTCTGGCCATCGGGAGCACCGGGACATTTCCTGGTGGCCTGGCCCTCTCAGTGATCGCAGAGGGGGCCCCTCCTTTCTTTACCTGAAGCTGTCAGCTACAGCAGAGCAGAGACACACAACAGTTGCATGCTCCCCTGTTGTGTGTCTCTGCTCTACTATGGACAGCCTCAGAAAGCGAAAGGAGGAGGCAGGGAGTCTGTCTTATACCTGAGTGAGCTGCACGAGTGGCATGGACGGTTTATTTAAAATAATCAAGCGCAACCCGAACTGAGCCTCTAGTCCCCTTCAGTGATCACTGAGTGGGCCAGGCCACCAGGAAATGTCCCAGTGTTCCCGATGGCCAGTCCGCCCCTCAGCATAATGCTCTGGTTGGTCGCCTTCCATCACTCAGCCAACCGTGTGTCGTGTACAATCTTACGCTGAAAACCCGTGAAAGAGTCCGCAAAAGTCAAACCACGAAGTATCGAGGGACTACAGCAAACTGCAGAAATATTAAACATTTCCTGTCAGAACTGACATCAGGTTGCATCCAAAAAGTTACAGCTCACTGCAGCTGATACAGTTTGTACTTGCAAATAACCACAGAATTACATAGAAATGTGGCAAAGTAATGCAGAATTTGTGGTGGTGTAAGTTTTTGAGTCTAGATTTGTGGTAATTACTTTGGTCTTACAGCGTTTCCCTACAGTTTCTGGCCTTGACAAGGAGACGGGGAGGGAGGTTATCATGTTGTCAAGCGGGCTCAACGACATAAAAAATTTGAGTTGGTTTTGCTTTTAATAAAAGTAATTTGCATTTACAGCTGCTCCCATCTTTATCTGCGTGCGCGTGTGCACGTGCGAGGCTTGGTCAGGCAGAGAAGGCCCAGTGATGGACATGCTTCTCCACTGATCAAGAGATACAGTTCTGCTATACAGCGCCACACTTCAGTTTCCTGCCATCCCATGAATACTGTCTAGATATTCCCGACTGAAGATCAGATTCTCTATACAGATATTTGAGTATTCTACTTGATGGGGAGTTTTTACTAGCAACAGCCTATTGACTTAGCTTTGAATACAGTACCAAGTAGATTTCAATAAGGTTTCAAATTTAATTACCAGTGTCAAAGTGGCAGTATACACCCTCCCCTTCTGACCAACTGGGTCAATCTATGGGCTCTCCAGAGCCAATAATATCCACCGAGTAAACCACATTCTAGCTATAGTTACTATAATTTTAAATGCTGAGGGTCAAAATTCAGTATTACAGTTTAGTATTTACTAGTGCAGAAACTAAACTTTAGCAGGTACTTTAAATAGTTCAAGAACAATAGAATTTAGCTTGGGTATGCTTTTCCCTGGCATTTAGTGGGTAAAAACTTAGCTGTCAATTAATGTTGGGTGACTGGACAAATATATCCACCATTGAGGTCCATTGGGCAATAACTTTTTATAAACATTATTTTCTGCTTTATTTTAGCAAATTCAAATTTCCCTTCGAGTTTGTACCAATAAAAAAAAAAAAAAACCTGCAATTCAAACTCACACCAGGTAATCCACCCTGATTGTGTGCAGGTCGCCTCACTTATTTGCAGCAACATCTTTAACCTTTTGTTAGCAGATAAATTACGGCTTCACTGTAACAGTTTGTCCTCGGTTCATTTTTACTGTGACACGTCACAACAGCTGTTTCACAATAAACTATCAGCTGTTAAACATAGACTGATGAATTAAACAAACATAATTCTTTAAATAATGTTATCAGAAAAGGCTGCCTTTAGCAGCTTCTACTTCTTGCAGCACTCTTTATCTCTGATTCCTGGCTGTGCATCGTGACGCACTACGAGTGAAAAGGCTTTATGGGTTTTAATCTGCAGTGCCCTCCCAAACCGCAGTGAATTAATACGTGCAAACACATACAGGCTTTACTAATTTACTTCATGGCATGAACTTAATTGGGAGGGGGCAAAACACTCATCTTGGCTAATGCTAGGAGAAATGCTGTCCAGTTGGTCGTAAAGTCTTATTTCTCAAATCTGAGGTTGTTTACAAAGCTACACAGAATTTTAAACTTTCATTCAGAACTCCAGGTTGAAGTGATCTACACATTTCTTTAAATATGCAGTATTTATATTTAAACGGAACTAAATAAAATGGTAAGACATATTGACAGTAAAGTCTTTATTTGTGCACACTATTCTCTGCTGCTGGCCATAGAAACACAGGAGTAGCTAGAACGTCTTCTCCTATTCCTAGACCTTTTTTGTACCCACCACCAAAAAGCAGAAGCAGATGATAACGGCCGTGTATGTCTGTTGAAAAAGTATCTGATGAAGCGCTGGACAAATTTCAATGAAACTTGCAACCGGTAACCTCTGGATGAACGCCTACAACTGAATAACTTTTGGAGTCAGACCAATTCAAGATGGCTGCCGACTGACCAAAAAAAAAAAAAAAAGAAGACATGTCTAATTTAGTCAGTTTCAGTTTGTGTCTTAAAATTCTCATAGCTTGTAGCTGAGAGCCCTTAACAACACACCAAGTGTGACATTTTGCAATATTGCATAAGAATGTGCATATTATCAAGGTTTGACGAAAACCGGCAATTCCTAATGCAAGATGATGTCAGTCTGTAACTCTGCTTGAAAGGTGATGGGAAAAATGAATTCCTTTAAGGGATGCCAGGCCTGATTTAACATCTGCACAATAACATAAAAGGGCGCAAACTATTTTGCACCAGAGTCCCGAACTACAAGAGAAAGAGAAAGCCATGCGTCTCACATGGGAACAGACGACACAGACGGGCAGAGGAAATGGAGGGTGCGATGATCTGATTGGCTGATCCAGCCGTCACTCAGAGAGTGCGATGATCTGATTGGCTGACCCGGCCATCACTCAATAGAGACTTTTTTTTCCACAGTAACTCGTCGGAAACGTCAAAAGAGCACGATAAGGAGCTTTGCGGAGTGCGTCTTTACACGTCTTTAACAATCCGCACCCTTCTATACATTTATGTCACTCAAACAGAGATGGACAGCTGCTGACAGGTTAGCTAACTAATAATAGCTAAACATGGCTGACTTTTTTTTTTTTTTAACAAGGCAGCTGTTATCTTCCTGTACGCACATTTATTCGCAACGGCTGATCGTGTCAACACATTTAACATGTTACTCAACTTCGTTCAGTTCTGCTGAATGAAGAATTAATTATGACACATTCACACCCGCGGTGAAGGTAGGTTATCCTCCATGTCTGACATTGGCAGGAAAAAAAATGACATTGATTAAAAAATGAACTTTCCAAATACAAATGTTTGATAATTTGGTGCAGATATTGTTTTATTATCAACCGCAGCGGTTTACTGGCCTACAAACCAACTTAAATGCAAAGTACAAACGTCACTGAATTATTACTGGAAGTTCGGTAACAATTAGTTCCGTCCGTAGTAAAACGGAACGAGGTTAGCTGGACCACCGACCTTTAGCCACATTAGCTTCCATCCTACGGTCTCCGTCGTGTATATTCTTCGTTTTACGGCAACAGGAACGATCCAGACGGTTTGTGAGCTTCGAGACTTGTGCGTTTCTAAAAAATACTTCAGTGTGTTGTGACGAGCAGGTGAACAGCGGTTCCGTTCGGTGACACAACTCCAAGGTTCTCGATTTAATGCCCGTTATGCTAGGCCAAACTTGCAGCCGAAACAAACTGCGTGTTTAAATCACGAAAAATGCAAGTGCAACGTAAAAGATAGCGGGTTGAAACAAACGTTAGCTCATGCTAGCTCCTCACGTAGCTCCGCTTGTTGTTGTGATCGAAGGGGGAGGAACGGCGGCTGCCCGGTACTGTCAAGCGTTTTCCCCCTCGAATGTACGCCATATCGTCACACGGCGATATAGCGAATCAACTAAACATTTACAACTACCTAGTTGAGCTTCGGTATCAAAACGCGAAAAGACACTTCCAAGCCGGTTCGCTGCTTTACTTACCTGCCGTGGCCTGAAGTGGAGAGAACCAGCGAAAGGGGAGCGGCTAGTTCTCTCCCGCTGCCGTTCCGAGCTTCGAGCTCTGGAATCCGCTGCGGCAGCAGCGCCTATCATGGAAGCCGACAGAAATGGCGCTGTTTTCACGTATAGCACTTCTTCAACAGCGTAAACGAAACTGTCGACATTCGGGCTCGAAACAGGAAGGTCATTCCTTGATGGCATACCACGGCAGAGCCAACATGTCCGCTTCAGAGAGACAGTTCCATTCTGACGCGACTCCTGAATGCGCCACCCTCCGCGTTCGTAACCAGGCAACAAAGGCGAAGCGCTACCGTCCTGCTGTTGTTGGTTTGATGCTTCCGCTGGAGTATTGCATCAGAAGTCTTAACTAGTACTCTGATCGTTATCATCTATTCTCATACAACTCTGATCTGAATAAACACTAAAATGATCATTTGGAGTTGAAAAAACATTGCAAAGTTGTATTAATTAATGCAATGGTACAAATAAATTATTTTGTATTTTTATTTGTTTTTCTGTACAACTTGTGATATTTTAAATGTCAGTCATAGATTATATACTTCATTCACATATATTCTGGATGTGAAACTGAAACTGCATTTCAAACTTCAAACAGGTCTCTCTTGTAAATTAGTCTTTGTGGCTCAATGAGACTAACCTGTATAAATACAGGTTTAAATTGATTTACCTTTAATTTCTAGTTAAAAACAATAATTTACATTGTATAATAATTTATACATATTTAATCTGTCCATAAGCCAAAACTCTGCTCCAAATGCCTGGAAAACAACCTTTGTTTTACTTTTGCTGAAGGGAGGTGACCCCACCTCACTGAACAATTATCGACCGATCTCTAAACTGTATTTTAGCTAGGGTTCTAGAAAACTGATGAACTCTCAAATCAAGAAGTATTTGGACTCATTTAACATCTTACCTCTCCATCAATCTGGTTTCAGGAAACAACACAGCACAACTGCTTCACTGAAGGTTTTCAGTGACATCGTTAAAGCATTGGATGCTAATTGTGCTGCACTTTTCTTAGACCTGTCTAAAGCTTTTGACACTGGATCATAACATCTTGTGTCATAAGCTCTCAGAAACTGGTTTCTCAGAACACACCATTGGTTGGTTCTCTAACTATCTTTCATATCAGAGGCAATGTGTTCAACACAATGGTATTCCCTTCAGATGTTGGATTGTATACCTGGATTATTGAACATGGACTTTGTTGGCATTTCCTTCAGTTATTTAACAGTCAACAATGGTGTACCACAAGGGTCAGTATTAGGACCCACCCTCTTTACAATCTACTTAGGTAATGTAGGTCCCAGCAGTTCTTCCTCTGATTTTATCCTCAAATGGTGTCCCTATTGAGTTTGTTGATTCCTACAAATATTTGGGTATCTTGGTCGACTCGCATCTCTCTTTTAAGCTCCACGTGGAAAACATAGTAAGGAAACTGAAAGTTAAACTGGGTTTCTTTTTCAGAAATAGATCCTGTCTAACTCTGAATGCTAGGAAATGCCTTGTATCTGTGACTTTCCTTCCCTCCATTGATTACGGTGACATTATTTGCATGAACACTCCTACAAGAACCCTGCAGATGTTGGATGCTGTCTATCATGGTGCACTAAGATTCATAACTGGCTGTGATTATCGTACCCACCACTGCACCCTGTATTCACTGGTTAAGTGGACATCATTAACTTCACGCAGACTCTCTCACTGGTACATTTTCATCTTTAAATCACTTCTAGGTCTGCTGCCTTCATACATCTCCTCCCACATGTCTCTGCGTGAGTGCAGCTACAGCGTGCGCTCTCAGGACATTATTACCTCCAGTGTTCCCTCAGTGAGGACTGAACTAGGCAAAAGGGACTTCTCCTACTCCGCTCCTGTTTCCTGGAATATCTTGCAAAAGATCTCAAGCTCTCGACCTTGACTTCTCTAAGTGGCTTTAAACATCTGTTAAGTTCCTGCAAAAACCAATGCAGACATGTTCCTGTTTTTAATTTTCTACACCGCCTTATAATCTAGCTGTTTTTTCGCTACTTTTCCTTTTGATTGTCCTTTTGGTTTCCACTTTATTTTAACTTGTTAAAAAAAGGTCTAAATTTGTATGGATCTTTTATGATTGTCTATTGTTGTCTTTGTTTACTGTTGTCATCACTCTTTGTTAAAAAATTCAGGTCTCTCTTGTAAATGAGTCCCTGAAGTTCAATGGGATTAACCTGTATAAATGAAGGTTGAATGAATGAATTCCTACTTCGCAGTTTTTCACTTATCGCGGGTCTTCAGGGGACAGATCTCCTGCGATAAACGAGGGACTACTGTGTGTGTATAT